TTCAGACAGTAACCAATGTTTTATAACCTTCAAAAATAAAAATGTTAACATTTACAACTGTATCATCATGGAATTATTGCTGGGAAGTTGTATATTCTACCCTTTTCAATGTGTTTTCTGTTATAATCCAGTAAACCATCAGTTATTAAAAAAAAAAAATAAAGAAAAAAATCTTGAAGTAAAGAAAAATACATTTGACAAGAAAATAATATGCTTTCAACCACTTATTAATTTTCCTAGAACCACAGGAAATTTGCTTCACACACACTCCAAAGAGTTCAAGTGCAACACTGATATGTGCAGTGGCCTGCTATGCCTTTATCACTTTACTGTGCTATAAACAACACTGTGCAGCAGTTATTATCAACACACCACACATTCCGCATTTGTCTTGCTTTTGGGCACAAGACGTACTTGTATGTAATGAATGTGTGCTACTAATTGAGTTCATCAACAGCGTAATCATTTTGTTCAACATACTAGCCAGAATCTGTCTTCACAATTATTTTTTATTAAATGTGCTTCCTATTAACACATTATATGAATGATTTTTTTTTTCCCAATTTAAAATTACGTCTGTCCTCGGAAAGTAACAAGAGAAACCATGGAAATATGTATGGCACCTCCAGAAGCATTCCTTTGGTAAGAGCTGTTCTGCAACTGAATAACCACTTATAACCAGAGTTACATGGAATATGTATGTGCTAGACCAGTGGTTCTCAACCCAGTCCTCAAGTACCCTGTAACATTCCAGGGATTACCCAGTTGTGTCTATGGTGTTTTTAGCAAATAATTATTTTTAAAACACGTTAGACACTACAGTGGTAATCCATAAATCCTGGACTGGTAGGGGGTACTTGAGGACTGTGTTGGGAACCTGTGTTCTCAACTGAAGCTATCTGGAACTGGTTTGATCTCATGTGAGCCCCTTATATTGTCTACAAAATACTTGGACTTTTGCCACCTTATATTTTGTAATTATGACTGTATAATGAGGATAATGAGGATATTAATCAAAACATCCAAAATTCTTTGCTTATATAAATGAAATATAAATTATTCAACAACATTAGTGGAAATTAGATTAATTATCAAAATCATAAAAACTGTCATAATTAAAAAAATCTAAAAAACAAAAACACAAAAGAGGCATAAGTAGTCTCACTGAAGAATTAATTTCTATAAAGAACACTAAGTACAATAAAGAAAGATAACCCAAACACTTCTTTCAGAATATAGAATATTAAATGAAGGATTAAAAAAAAAATATATGTATGTTATATATTATAATAGAACATTGGAAGAGTATACGTGGAAAAATGAATACAGTACCTGTAAAACTTGTGCAATAATGTGCTTTAATAGTATTTTTATATGATCAGACTTTTCCATTAATAAAAAACAGGTGTAAATAATTTAAAGCACATACATGCATGAAAAGCATGAGGACATGTAATGCAATGCAGCAAACTGTGTTTCTGACAAATATGTCAAGTTTGGGAGAAGTGATGAGAGCTTTGACCTGATACCTACCAGGTGTAAAATGACATATTTAGGTTGGATCAATCATCTCACAGAGCACACTATACAAAACTGGTAAATGTGTGAGACTGACAAGTGGCTGGCTGACATGAACTCCCGGCAATGAAATGTCAAGTGACTCATATCTGCTTCCCTCATTGTTGGCAAAAATGATTATATACTAAAAAAAAACACTGTTTTCCTTATGCTACATCTTCATGATGTTTAAAACACCTTTCAGGATTACTCACTTAAAGGGACACTCTAAGCACCAAAATAACTTTAGCGTAATGAAGCTGTTTGGTGCATTGGTCATGTTCTTGCAGTCTAACTTCGATTTTCTGCCATGCAGGAGTTAAATCACACTATAGGAAGATGCGAGAGAATACTGAGAACAGACAACAAATCAAATAGATTGCCCTTCGGTGGGTCCCTGTTTAGTTCTCAAGCTGCTTTTACCGTAGAGAGGGCAAACAAACTAAAACAGAGAGAAAGCAAATTGAGCAGTGAGGCTGTAGGGACATAAATAAGCAGGGAAATAAATACAACATCATATTTATTCTTGCAGTAGGCAGATTTGTGTCTGCAACCGCTCTGCCTAATGTGATGTTGTCAGGTTTGATGACTTATCCAATCCAATGCTGCTTATAGAAAATCATTCAGCACACTCCATGGAATCCAGTGTTCTCTATGAAAAGCATCAGACACATTCAGCATTATCAAGTCAAATGTAAATACCTTTAATTTTCAAAGCTCAAAATGGGGTAGCGCCTCTTGAGGCTGTCAGTCACTAAAGGTGTGTTCTCTTGAAAATGTAAGTATTGTCATTTCAGTTTAAATTTGTCAGAGAAAAGAGAGAGCAACTATACACCAAAACCACAACTTTCATAAAGATGTAATGTTTCTGTATGCCCTTTTAATTTATTTACTTGACATTCATTTGTTAGGATGAAGGTAAAATCCAATAGAGTATAAGTTACCAGAAAGGTAAGATGCTTAAAGGAATAGAACTGGACAGATGTCCTAGACTGTAAGGTGGACGAGTTAAAAAAAGTTAATGGTGTTCCATCATTGTCAACAGAATGGCCCCAAAATATAGAATTGTCTTTAAAACAACTTTAATCTTAACGTACTCTGTTGCTTTTTCTAGTTCACTTTTAAAAGGCTTCTGATCTTAGAGGTTAATATCTAAAAAGTAAAAACATTGTTACTTCCAGTTTCTCTTTTGATATCTCTCAGATATTTATGGATCAAAATTTTCAGATTCCATAGATTTTAATCATTTCCTGCTGCAATCACTCACAAAAGAGTAATTTTTGGTGTATATATAGGTATTATATATACGTCTGTCTGTCTGTATATCTATTTATCTATCTATATCATAGTTTATTATATTTAATTCTAAACACAAAATTAATTCAGACTAAAACGCAAGTGATATTGTATTGACGTATGTCAGCCGTTTCCCTAGAAACCACTAGCCGTAATACAAGTCAGTTTGCTAAATTATTACAGAGCTACTCATTTACAGAAGGGAGTAATTCTGCAAGACGTTTAGCAAAACTATATTTAAAATAATTGAAATATTCTTCCTATCTATCCTCCCTTATACACAAGTATGTCCCGTCTAGGCCCTTACGATCTGCTGAAGACTTACGTCTATCTTCTGTCCGTACTCCCACCTCTGATGCTCGCCTTCAAGATTTCTCGAGGGCTGCACCGTTCCTGTGGAACTCGCTTCCCTCCTCCGTTAGATGCTCAACCAGTCTCCACTCCTTCAAAAAATCGTTAAAAACCCACTTCTTCATAAAAGCATATCAATCAAACTGTTAATAGCTCCTGACTGATCCCTCTTCTGCAACTGTCACTAGTCTAATACTACCCTTACCTTTTTGTGTCATTTTACCCCATCATAGTTTATTATATTTAATTCTAAACACAAAATTAATTCAGACTAAAACGCAAGTGATATTGTATTGATGTATGTCAGCCGTTTCCCTAGAAACCACTAGCCGTAATTAGAGATGTCGCGAACCGTCCGCGAACTTCTCGCGAACGGTTCGCGACATCTCTAGCCGTAATACAAGTCAGTTTGCTAAATTATTACAGAGCTACTCATTTACAGAAGGGAGTAATTCTGCAAGACATTTAGCAAAACTATATTTAAAATAATTGAAATATTCTTCCTATCTATCCTCCCTTATACACAAGTATGTCCCGTCTAGGCCCTTACGATCTGCTGAAGACTTACGTCTACCTTCTGTCCGTACTCCCACCTCTGATGCTCGCCTTCAAGATTTCTCGAGGGCTGCACCGTTCCTGTGGAACTCACTTCCCTCCTCCGTTAGATGCTCACCCAGTCTCCACTCCTTCAAAAAATCGTTAAAAACCCACTTCTTCATAAAAGCGTATCAATTAAACTGTTAATAGCTCCTGACTGATTCCTCTTCTGCAACTGTCATTAGTCTAATACTAGCCTTACCTTTTTGTGTCCTTTTACCCCACTCCCTCTAGCATGTAAGCTCATTGAGCAGGGCCCTCAACCCCTCTGTTCCTGTGTGTCCAACTTGTCTGGTTACAACTACGTGTCTGTTCGTCCACCCATTGTAAAGCGCTGCGGAATTTGATGGCGCTCTATAAATATAATAATAATAATAATTTTTACTCTAAGTAATAAATGTTGGCAATTCTTTCCATGTATAACAGACATTCCTTAACAACTATATAAAAATTGGGTTTTTTTTGTGTGTTTTGTACATGTCTGTGCAGCCCCGCGACATTTTTTTTTAGTGTATGTTTTTGCCTTTTTATTTCAAACGCTGGGTCTGTACTATATTTACAGCTCAGCTGTTGCATTTCTATTCAGACTGATCAGAGACTGACTTAGTTTTGATTTTGTATAGTTGTTATTCAGTTCTGGATGTGGTACCGCAAGCAGCATAATGTTCCTGGCATTGCTGTAATGCATTGGGCTTATCATTCAAGGCCATGACATGTCACATTTTTGAAGGGTACTTCCTTTAGTCCTTCCTTTAGTTGTAGGACTCAAGTGAATTTCAATGTAGTCAGAGTAAGTAAAGAAATTAACAGAAGTACAGTCCAGGGGCCAAGGTAACGACCAAGGGCTTATGGACTGTATCCCTGTAGCCACCTATAGTCGAGCTCCAAAAATGAGGGCTTATCCCTCTAATAATGTATATATATGAAAAGTATAGAGTCCCACTTGGGGAAAGTAAGAGGGGGCTCAACCTGCAAAAAGAGGGAAGGAGACCCTACCTTTAATATATCTAAGAATATATGTAAATGCAAGCAATAGAGGGGAGTAAAAAGAGGGAGATTAACTAAATGATGCCAAGGGGATAGGTTGGTCTAAAATAATCTAGATCCAAGAGATAAGGGGAGGGGGGAGGAGAGAAAGAAAAACTCCTAAATATAATAATATTATTATTGGGTCCCCAGGTCCCCCGAGCATCCGGCTGAATGGGTAGGTAGGTACAAGACAGCGAAGAGGTAAAGGGGGAGATAAAGGGAGGTAATTAAAAAGGGAGAGATCGTAGAGGTTTTTGTTATGTAGAGGTTTATCTTTAAAACCCTCTTTTTAATTACCTTCCTTTATCTCCCCCTTTACCTCTTCGCTGTCTTGTACCCATTCAGCCGGATGCTCGGGGGACCTGGGGACCCAATAACAATAATAATAATATTATTATAATATAGGGGAATAAATGAAAAATAAAATTAATGTTTCATCATATGTGTATATGCTAGTTATGCATCCCACTTTTCTGATAAATGGTAGGCTAATATTTTTTGCAAACAGCAGCTAATTAAAAGGTTAATGCTGAGAGAGAAATTGGGCTTATTATAATTTTCTTGATTTTGTAATTTGTTTTATCTCGTTTGAGTTAGTTAGAGGTGTAATTAATGTGAATTGGTCATTTTACCCTGTTTTATAAGATATATTTTATCTGGAAACCAAATAGTTTAATACATCCTTTAAGGCAAATTAATTGTTTTTTATACATAGAAATTATTTTTGGTTTAATTATTGTTAATTTAGGATTATATAAGCAGCACCAGCCATCTGTGGTTCTGATGTGGCAGTTGTTTTTTGGTAAGATTACAATTTAATGATTCATTAGCAACATAATTTGAATATAGATCAAATTTTATATAATAATTATGTATAGGGTTTATGTTAGTAACTAGCAGTAACTTAATTTCTTAAATTCACACCATATATACAACTCCTATGAAAGAAATCTGAGCAGCTCTTGCTTTAAGAGTCTAATTAAACAAATGTCATTACTGTGTGTGTTTTACTTATAAATGATTGATAAATACTCCCACCTATGATGCTCGCCTTCAATACTTCTCAAAGGCTGCACCGTTCCTGTGGAACTCACTTCCCTTCTCCGTTAGATGCTCACCCAGTCTCCACTCATTCAAAAAATCATTAAAAACCCACTTCTTCATAAAAGCCTATCAATTAAACTGTTAATAGCTCCCGACTGATTCCTTTCTTGTAACTGTCATTAGTCTAATACTATCCTTACCTTTTGTGCCATTTTACCCCACTCCTTCTAGCATGTAAGCTCATTGAGTAGGTCTCTCAACCCCTCTGTTCCTGTGTGTCCAACTTGTCTGGTTACAACTATGTTTGTTTGTCCACCCACTGTAAAGCGCTGCGGAATTTGTTGGCGCTATATAAATAATATCATAATAATAATAATTAATAATAAAATCAAAGATGTGCTAATGAGAGCTATAGGGAGTTAACCATATGGGTCAATGTTAGAAGCAGATGCATGTATCATGAAGGAGTCCTATATGTTGTCCTAGCTACTTTCATCAAAATCTGTATCGTAGAATTTCCAAACTGCTTATCCATATTCATCAAAACAGAGGCACTTTGTTTGATTGCTACTTTGTCCGAGTTAATGCAAAAGATCTCTTTAAGCACAAATTATACCTCCTTGGAATAGTCCAGTGACATGATGTACACATTTCAGGGATTACACTTTGTGCTATTTGAATTAATTCTGCATGAGATATATCAAATGTACATGTAAATACAAACCTATGATGGCATAATGTTCAAATGAAAAAAACAATGCTCACTTCTGAAAAGAACATTCCAATACTCCAAAACCTGACATAGTTAAGTGAAATCTAACTACATTTATACAGATACAAAATAAGCTTTCAGTGAAAAGTATGTTCAAGGAGGTAATTCAAGAAAATCCAATCTGAAATAGTGCCAAGAGATGAATACCTAAACAATGAGACTTATGTAGTATTCTTGCCTACAGCATGAGTTTATAGTAGAGCACTCTAGCACATCTGATGCCTTACCTGTTTCTTTTATCTGTAATGATTTTGTCAATTTTCTTAATGTAAATCTTGTAGCTTCTTTTACCCAACCACAAACACTCAGCTTAATTCTATACACCCCTTCCATCATTCTTAACATTCCTTACACATCAAAGTCTGGGTCCAGTGTTCCTGTCCCTTTTACACCACAAAGGAATACAGTGCAATTATTAAGTAACACTGCAGGGTCAACTCCTCCTTTACTGGCTGTCATACTAACAACCACAAGAGGAGCTGGCACGGTGCAGTCCGAGTAAAACTCAGTCACGTGATGCAGAAGCTTCCATAGGACATTGATTCAATGTCTTTCGGTGGGGTAGCTTGGATGCACATGCATGATCATTGTGTTCCCAATGCTCCTCATAGAGGAGCATTGGATTTGACCATCGTGGATGATGCCATGCATTTTCAATGACAATGTGGAAGATGCAGAGTTAAGCAGCACCAAGGAAGCCGTGGCAATGGGAAAAGGTAAGTCAAATTATTTATTTTATTATTTTATATGGCAAACGGTGGCTTTAAATAGGAACACTAAAGTGTTAAAATTACAGGCTTGTATTCCTAACTCTTTAGTCCTCCTTTAAGAAGTCCACGTTCTCTGCCACGAAAAAAAATGGCTTCATTTTCAATTACATCTTCAGCACAGTGTCTTTACTTTAGAAGGTTTTGTTAATTGACTTTTTGCTTTGTTAATTGACTTTTAATCACACATGAAACTCCTACAGACTATTAGCAGAACATGAAATATAAAATTGTAAAATATCTATGCAACAAAACTACTTCATAAGGCTAAAGTTGTTTTGGTGCTTAATGTCCCTTTAACCTATGGAGTAACCTAAGGTTTACAGGGTATTGCTGCAAATATCTGCTCTTAAATAAGGCTTTTCATCTATCAAGATGTTTAATAACAATTTGCATTAGAACTAATGTAAAAAGTTAAACATAACTAAAATTAAATAGTCAAAAGTGTCAAATAGTCCTCTCTATTTGTATGTATTTCATTTGTTCGTCTCTGAAATATTTTATACTTTTTAAAGCAAATGTGTGAATATTTCTTTGGTTTATTTATTATACTTATCAGCCAAAATTACCAATTTAAATATCATTGTGTATAAAGTAGTTTAAAAATAAGCTTGAAGCACAAGCAAAAGGAAACAAAGTCACTTCTAAAATCATGGATTAATCTGAGCATGAATGTATTAGGAAAACAGCGTTAAAAGTAGATTATTGTGCTTTTCTGTAAATTAACGCTAAACAAAGAATGGTTAGGTACCAGTTCAATGCCAAGCAAATACCAGAGATCCAATCTACAGTTATACAACAAAGGTCATGTAAAATGATAATACTGTAATTATAATGCATAGAATACAAGGCATTTTTGTTTAGTTTGTGCTGTGTTAAATATGATGTGTACTGGAAAAAAATCATAGTGTGTCTGAATATGAATAACAATTTTTCCCAGACATCAATGGGATTTGTGATGCTCAATAATTAGAAAAAATATAATCTTTTATAATATCCTAACAGTTTGAAGTGCATTATGGAATTTTTTTTACACATCCGCAGAGTCAAAATTAGGCATTGCTGGATTATATGACGCCAGTTTTATCATGTACATGGGATCTAACCAGGCAGAAGCTCAGTGCTAAATATTGGAGGGAATACATTGATCAGGTTTATTCTTTTTGCGTCTTAATGGTTTAAAGATTTCATATACAAGCATAGAATTTAATTACTGTTCCATTAACATAACTCAATACATTGTAAAGAGATCTATAAGTCTTTGTTAAGTGAAAACCTGTTACTATGCTTTTGCTCTGAGAAAGAAACAATACAGTCAAAACGGAAAACAGTATTGTGTAATAACTCAAATACATAAGGGAAATATGTAATTTGAGATAGAAATATCCAAAACACACAGAAAATAATACAATAAAACAATACACTTGGGAAATATACAACTTTATGTAAGATCTTACTCCTTTGTGATGTTATATATATGTTGTAACTATCTTGATTAGGGTTCTGTTTTTTGTTTTTCTTTATATATATATATATATATATTCTATTTTTAAAGTTTGATAGAAAATTTACTGTGTGGGATAGGTCAGCACTTTCTAAATAACATCAATAATACTTGGAATAATATTTGATGAACAGACTTGAAGGTTAAAACTGTTTACAAATTAATCAGAGCCAACCTGTCAAACTTAGAACAAAATAACTTATTTGAAGATTTTGTTAACTTAACTGTGTTGAAGTAAATTTTGCAGTTGGTTAGCAAGAATTTAGAAAACAGTAAACAAGAATAAATAGCTACTGAAAGAGGAATTGTCATTTATGATGTTTTTTAATACAGTATTATGTTTACTAACCTTCATGTTTAAAAAAAATGTATTTGTGAGCTGGAAAAAAATTTAAATTTAAATATAGAAAAACACACCTCCTTTATCTTGCAACGGTGTGCCTCCATTTTGTCTCCCTGTCAATTATTGATTTAAACTTTGTTCTTTGTACCTGGCAGTCGGCATAGAGAAAGCAAGCAAGAAGAGGGGACATTAAACAATGTTTCTTTTAAATTCTTTATTTTTATTGTGCAAAAGCTTGACAGACATGCATATTTTGCCACGGCAACAAGTACAGGCTTTTCACATGGCATTATACTGTGGCATACAAAGGAACTGCACATTTTTATGTAACTAACAGATTAATACAGGTTGTGTCAGAGAATGGTATGGCTTTAAGCTTGATGAACAGTAGTGTAGGCTGACATTAACTCTGTCATATGAAAACAAATGGTATAACATGCTAAACTCTGATTAACATTTGCGTTTGGGAGCCACTGGGTACTTATTTTCATACTATGTGGAGGTAACATATTTTCATACAGGAGTAATTGCTAGGCATGGTGTTAGCTGGTTATGAGGTGACATGCTAATTTAGTTGACTGGCGTGTACGCATATTGTAGTTAAAATGAAAATGAAATAATAATTAAAGCACAGTGTTCACTGCCACTAGATGCAGTCCTGAGCTGGTTGCATTAACGGTGTGGCTGCTACAAGCTGAAAGTTAAACAAGAATAAAAATACTACCAGCAACATAACCCTGGAGTAACATCTCCACCAGGGAGCATATAGAGAAAGGATGAGCCATTGGGGATTATTGCCTGTCCCCATGCAGCAAGTGGGGGTAAGCTTAACATTGGGGGGTTAGATGACTCTGCCTGGGACTGCTTAACCGATGCCTGCTGATGGCGGGTTGTTACCCCCAGGGAGCGTAAATCCA